AGCAGCTGACTAAACTGAATTTTTAATGATGTTCTGGCAACTTTGTTCTGTATGTACTGAGTGACAAAGATCCAAGCAGATTAAGATGTACATGTCGCTGTATCAGCATAACACGGGTAAAGAAAATACCAGTCTACTTTATTTGTGATCTGCTTCACCATCATCCGATTTTATTGTGGACTCAGTGATTGGGGCGCCATAGTAGTTTGTCCCATTGATAAAATAAAAACTTGCTGTGTGATACTGAGTGCTAGTATTTCTATTTTTAGAAGAGCGCCCTCTCGTGGCGTAAAGCGATCTGTACAGAACCATCTAATGGACATTATCTTGCAAGATGTATTGACACTGGGAGATGAGACAGGAACACAGACCCGTTTTTCTTGAGCCACTCTACTGTCTCAGGCTTTGTAGAAATCCGCTGAAACAATAAGCAAATGGAATATTACATTTAAATATGGTTTATGGACAGGGTGTGCAGGAACAACAATAACCACAACATATACCACAGTTAAACAGGTGTACTTAATAAAGTGGCTGGTGAGTGTATGTTTAAACTATTGCTCATTTAGCATGGGTTTTAAATATGAAATTACCTCATCACATTAGGCAGATTGGGATCTAAGTAAATGTTGTTGTGAGAGAAGCCAAGATTTGCGCTGTAGGAGATCATTTCAACGTGAACATCTGTGCCGTATTTTTTCTGAGCCTGGAGTGATATCTGGTACAGCTGGAGATAAAAAGGCTAATTAATTAATCGAGAAGCAGCATCAGCATCCACTAGGACATAAACTGTTAGGAAATGGGAGCATGAAAGGAAGAACTACTGTACCTTCACACCCATGTGATATGGAACAACATTGTCATCCTCTGAATGTAGAATAAGAATGGAACTAGTCAAGGTCTTTAAACTGTGCAGATGTATGAGAAAATGTTAAGTCAAAGATGAACTGAGTAAGATGAATAAAGTTCATTTAGCATCATTGCATCATAATCTTTCTCACACTGTTCTCTGCATAAAGGCAAAAGTTTTGAAATGTTGCCATATTAATAAACCCAGAAGTAGAATAAGCCTTTGTTGATTATACTTACTTGTTTTCATTAGCAAATACTATGTTGTTCCTTTCCAGTATGTTCAAAAGCAAACTGTCAAATCCTGGCAGGAACAGGTACATCTGGAAGAAAGGGTGGTACAAATAGTTTTGCAGCATTCTGTGTACAAGTACTTGCAGAGTAGAAATGACCACATGGTAAACATTAGTCAGCTTCATGAATATATCCCAATATTTAAACTTCACATAAATGTGAGCCTCACTTTTAGCAGTTGATTTTTAAAAAAGGGGGATGTGAAGCTACATTTGAGCTGCGGGGGCTGGATAAATATTATATAGATGTAATTTAGTGGGTTTTGTGGCTTCCACAAACATTTGCTAAAGCTTTTTATACTGGCTTTTTTTTAAAAACAACACAATTTTAGATAGCTGTGTTTTGTGGAATACAAAACAACCTGACATAAAAAACGTTAAAAAAAAACTGGCCTCACCTTAATGAGCAGAATACTGGTTAGAAGCTCTCCAATTCTTGTGTATGGGGCTTCCAGAAGCATCAACAGCAGAACCTGATAATGAGGACAGTGAAATACAGTAAATGTAACATTTTATCTCTTGCAATGAGCAGTTTCTATTCATCTGCCCGTGACGGCTCTTATTCTGGCCGATTAGACATCTGCTCTGGAGGAAGGTGGGTAGAGTTATGTTAGGAAGAGGCAGATGTTTTGACTTATCCCAGCAGGGAAAGTGCAAGTGTTACTAATAACATTAATGATGGCTCTTATATTCATGTGCCTGTGTCCCACGTCCATAAGCTACTACATACTAACTGCACAATGTCAGTACTGATCCTTATACTATACCTTTTGCAGTTGATATAAAAGAAATGAAGGCACTTTTTGTTCTAAAATGTCATGTGTGGAAAAAGATCTATTACATGAGGTCACTGGACTGCACGATAATAAGAAGTTATGAGTTTATAATTTGTCCCCCACTGACAGCTGCAGCAGTGGAAAATAACAGAGGTGCCAGTCAAACAGTACACGCCCACACATTGTTGAGACAAGGGGACTAATCAGTCATGAATTGTTAAAATCACTTGTGTGGAGCTACAGTGATTATGCAGAGCCTTTAAAGATTTACACTCACCTTGCTCTTGTATTTTCAATGCAGCATTTGTTGCCACTCTACAAAAAAATGTAAAGGAGTAGATTACTACACATTTACAATACATTTTCTACTAAGATTTTCATTTGTCTATATTAGTGCCATAGACAGTGTCTGTAGGAGAAACTGACCCAGAGCCAAGGGAGTGTCCCCACAAACAGATAAGACTCCCTCTGCTTTGTTTCTTTACCCAGTGGTACAGGTAGAGGGCGTCACTGGTCAACCCAGCTTCACTTGGCTCCCCAGTGGAGTCTCCAAACCCTCAGTGAAAGACATGAACCCTCATAGTCATGACTGACCGATCAACAGGACAATAAATCAATAACATGATATTTATATCTACTCTGATTAAGACCTAAAATCAATGTTTTGTTGACACTTACTTATTGTTTGGGGACTCAGACCCCACCGTTGTGTGTATACCAATAATAATAATGATGATTGTAAAATCCAGATACCTTTTTCAGACCATATTCTATCAAACAAAGAATCATTTCATGCTTTATATGTTATTATGGGCTATACCTGAACAAATGCATGTTCATTGTTCTTGCCAAAAATGTCAGTTACAGACAATGAAACGTACAGTATGTTTGGGGTCGGTGTATTTACGCTGCCTGTTTGTTGACCTCTTATGAACCAATATCCACATTACAGCCAGGCCCTCTGAGACCTGCAACAATCTTCTCATATATGTCATAGGTTCAAAATCATGTTCACAAGTAATTCTCATTAAATTAGAAAAACATTCTGAAGTATCAAGTGTATAAACCAATATTAAGTGTGTTTTGAACTGTAAACAAAAGCCCAAGGTCTCCCACACAGAACATAAGGTTGTATTTAGCAAAAAAAATTTGCACTTGCTGAACAAAAATAAACATCTTACCTCTGTAATCTAAAGATAAGACATGATACCCTGCAGCGCTTAAGATCTGCAACAAACAAAAATAATATTTTATCTAAAGCTGAAAGTCAAAACTGTGCTAATAATGAAAATCAACCATGCCTTAGAACAAACTCCATACCTTCACCAGTTCCACTCTGCAATGCAGCGCCCTGCAGAAATGACATGAGAGCAGTGAATACAAATAAACACCTGGCTTTGGGGCTTGTTTACCCTTGTGTACATTGCCTCTGTGGATGCACCCAGGGGCCTTGAGCAGTTATGTAATACCCTCTAGACTCTATTAGGATCAGGTCAAGGGTCTCTGTCCTGCCACTCTGATCCCACCTGGTCCCTGTGTTTCCATGGAGATAGATAATAACAGGATGGCTGTTTCCCAGAGTCTCCCAGTACCACTCAGGGCTTCTCCCCACAGCATTCTCCCATTGGCTGACAGGGAGTGTATGCCTATGAAACACAAAAATAGAGAAGGGCAGATCAGAAAGAGAGAGCAGCACAGACCAATTTGCGTGTGACTGAATCTATACAGTAGGTTTCTGAGTTTGTCTCGCGCTGCTAAATGAGTAGATTGTGGCTTTTTTCACTCAGGAGCTGCCTGTGGCAAATATGCATTTGCATGCTTATGGTATTCTCAAGTAGTGATGCACAAAAGGAACCCACAAATGACCGACAGTACCATACTCCCACTGAGATACCCTCCTCTGTGTTGAGGTAGAAGTTGCATGTGTGGTTCAGCACATCTTCAGGTCTGCCGAGATCCACAAAGAATGGAAGCCTCACTGCAGCACACCAGAGCACACAAGGTCAGTATGATTTTTGTACATAGACATACTAAAAACAATGGTCTCTTCAAGTGACCAGTAACGTTGGCTACATCCCAGCAAGCTTGACTGTGTCCCAGTAAGCCAGTTTGCACAAATAGGAACCTGAAACTGAAGCAGCTAAATGAAATGTTACCATGATTTATTGTATTAGTCTCACCTGTGCTTTTCCTATTGCTGCAAGTCAACATATCTTCCATGAAAAAGACCAATATAGAAATAAACTGTATACTGAATAAACACTATGAGCTGGTTGCTTGAAGCAGACATTACTTACACAAGTGAGCAAATATGGCATGGCCCAGTATCCAGGGAAACAAGTAGAGAATAACAGGCACTGAGACATAGACAGTGATCAGAAATGACACTGCTCTCTTCATTTCTGCCACAGGTGAAATAACAAAATCTGCCCCGCTTTCCAAAACAGTGTGCTCCTTTTGTCCTTGTTTCTGGGAGAATGCAGCAGAGCTTTCCTCCTGACAATAAGAGAATTGTGAAATACAGAGCGAGAAAAAGAGGTCAAAGTTCAACTAAGATTAACCCTCTGCTGTGATTGGTGCCCATTAGGGATAATGATTCAAATGTCATAAAGAATCAGTAACTTAGGCTAATGATTAAAGTATAAAGCACCTCCAAGAAAGTGAAAGCCTTTTTTTTATAAAATGATAAAGACAGCAAAGGCCACAAATTATTGAAAAATCCATGCCTGTTGATGTTTAGCCAAACCAATAGAAAGGGAACCATTAACTGTACTAAAATTATACATAACAATGAATATTTGGTGGTAAAAAAATTCCTCTACCACCTGTACAATGGCAGTCCAAACAACAAAAGACAGAAAGGCCCCGTGTAGGGTGGTGAGGATAGCTGAGAAGATTATGACACCTACTGGCTAAAGTGACCTGTATCCTGAAAGTCACAACTCACCATCAGGAAAGAAATACAGGAGCCTGAGTAGCGACACTATCAGGTTAGGTAAAAGCTTCTACCTGTCTGCTCTCAGACTGCAAAAGCAATCACGCACAGCTGACTGTGCCTTGTCACCTTGCTGGTAGATATTTTCATTCTTTTCTTTTATTACTTTTTTAATGGAGCTATGCTCGTAATTTCGTTCTGCTCTGCATCCGTGATGTTTGTGCTCAATGACAATAAAAAGAATACTGAATCTGGAGAAGATTCACCCAGCTGATGTCACCGAAGTGCTCTCACTGCAAGGCATCATGGGTATTGAAGTTGTTTGACATAGACACAAATGGTGTCCAAATGTTTACATTTTCTTTTAGTGTCAACTTATTAGCACTACTAGAAAAATCTACATTGAATACATCTGAAGTTTACTAATGAAGTCTTATGATTATACTGTATTTTATTTCATTCATCTGACTGTGAATAGTAGAAACTACAGTTATTAGATGTAAATGTAATGGGGTAAAAAGTACAAATATTTACTTATAAAATGTAATAAAGTCACATTTTATTTAAGCACAGTACTTGAGTTAATGTACGTAGTTACTTTCTACTTCTGCACTGTCATAACCTTACAGTAGATGTTATGTTCAAGGATGGTAAATGCTAGTTTGAACGGCTACTACTGTAGGCTAGCTAGCTAAGTGCCAGAACCAGTTCCCTATGGCTAAATAAATACATAACAGTTTATATGACCTAAGAACATCAGCCGGGATAACGGGAATTCTTCGCTATCTTTTAAGTCTGGTTGGTATCGTATTGATTTAGCTTCACGGTGAGTCTGGTGCCCAGGACCCGGACTCGTGGGGCAGTGGCAGGCTCCCGGTCACCGCCCCTTCCTCTCAGCCGCTTTTCAAAATCCGCTATAAGCCAGAGGAGGATGGCAGTACATCCAAGGACACAAAGCAGACGTCTACCTCTGTTAGGAACGAAGTCTCCAGTGCTTTGTAGAAATAAAATTTCCCCAACAAGTCTCAGTAAGTGAAACTGCCTATTATTGGTGGCGAGGACAACTTATTTTCGAGTGAACCGCAGCGCGACTACGGGGAAAATGTTGTAAAAGTTTGTTTTATACGCGCATTTAATCACCGGATTTCACTTGGACAAGAAGCCAGCTGTCGCAAAGGTTCGGAGACTTTGGTAAGTTGGTTTTAGCCAACACTTTTAAAAGCAAATGCTTCTTTGTTGGGTGGTTTCTCTTCTGCTTTTAAAATAAATGTAAATGACAGCCTACATCAATCTCAACCGTCTCCTCCCCGCATGCCTGCTGATAAATTAGCCGGTTAGCATAGCCACCACTTCACTGCCCATATCCTCTTTGACCAGTTACGCTAGCTGAACTGCTTCACGGGTGGTTGAGTCTGTTATCACACTCATAACTGACTTTTCAGGCTTTACTCAGATGTATATCGGACATTATTCAAGCAACTGTTGACAGTGGGCCCAGACACTTATTATTCTTGTCATTTTGATCTGGATTTTCCTATTAATAGTTGACCCAAACGCCCTTAAAAGTTTGTGATTTTGTGGCAAAGCTGTTGAAGGTGGTCAAAGGTTTTGGTACACCTCAGTTTGTTTAGATTTTATTGATGTGTAAGCAGTTCAAGTTCAGTGAATGACCTTAAAGGGCATGAAGCTAAGAAGTAAACTACCAGAGACAAACTAGGGATCAAGCAATGGGTTAACTTTTCTTTTTTGCAGCAGTGGAAATAGATGAAACCTTGAACACTGATGTAAACAAGGTGTCCCAACATTTGTTGATTCCTTATAACAATAAGTTCTGTCTGTTCAAAGACTGTGTTACTACACCCCCTGAAGCATTATTTGGAAAAAAAAGACAGCAAAGGAAGTTGGACCTTTTCAGAGTTTCATCCTGTAGCAGGATAATGACGACAAAAACAAAAATAAAACATAACAGCTCCAGGCTGCCTAGAAGAAAAGAACCAGCAATGGCAGCAATGTAGTGCACCCATAGAAAGGTTTTGAAGTTTTTACTTGACATGTTTTTCTTGACATCTCTTAGTGATAATCACCAGTCACACCAGTCAGTGAATGCTGTGGTGGTGTGAGGATTAACCTCCTCCTTGTGACTTGGATTGCCCTGATTCTTTGACCGCAGCAGCTGTCGACTCACGGCCACTGTGAGCTGAGTAGGACTACCAGGATAATTGGCTCAGAGGCTGCTTGCAGAAAGCACTCTGTGTGTGTGTGTGTACAGAGAATCTGATTTAGTAAAAGATGCATACAATACGGGGATTAGATTCTGATTTGCTGCATTTGTCTTGATAAACTCTTGTTGTTACCCAATGTCTGTGGTTTCCTTGCATTTCATAAGCTGTTCAGCTGCAGAATACGGGTTCATTTTTTTTGTGGGCAGCCTATTGTCTGCGGTGAATGGGTACCTTGAGTCTGGGCTGTGGGGGACACCTGGCTGAGTACTTGAGGACAGCAGCTGGAAAGGCAGAGGGTCAGAAGGGTGCTTTTTTTTTATTATTGATACCTAAAGTGTGACGTATCAACTCTTAATTTTGAGCTGTATTCGGCTGCTACTAATACACAGCTTTTATAAGGAGACAATGAAGTAAGATAAGACAAGAGAATGTTGAAAAGTAGTTAGTTTGCTACAACAACAAAATGTCCAGGTAAAAACATTTATAATACACGTGTGCAATGGCGTTCAAGGAAGGCGATTATCACTAACACTGATAATCTGAAAAGTAAAAACCAAATTGTAGACAGTTGCTGCCAACAACCCCAACATTTATGCAGAAAAGTGTCCAGAAAATGGACCAGATGTAAACAATTATGGAATGTTTTTAAGTAAAAATAGCAGTAGATGAATGCTGTACTCTGCTCAGTACTCCACTGCTGTTTCCAGTCATGTTAACTGACATTTACCGTCTTTAAGCCTCAGATGGCTGACCTAAGCTGTTTCATCTAGAAGTTATGTCATTGCTTAATTTACTCAGCCTCCATCTTTTCTTTGTAATGACCCAGGAAGACCTCACACATTTATCTCTCTTAAAATACAAGATGAGCTTCATTGTTTATCTATTATTGCTTCAGAGAAACTTGGCTCACAGTTCATTTCATTACTGTGCTGAACTGCCATGCGCTCTGTCTTGCTCTTCGTTTTTTTTTTCAGTTACAGACATAGGCTAATTCATCCCAACTGAGAGAACAGACATGTTCTCCATGTGCCTGTAACTGATGCCACAGGCTGCTGCATGTTGGTGTAACCTTGTCAGTCAGTCCCTGGCTGCTGGTCCACTTGGTTCTCTGTGACTTTCTCTGTCATTGGTCTGTATAGTCAGTTTAGGAGCTAAAGCAATTCCAAACTTATTACTTTTATATAGTTTTTTTTTTATTATTATTATTATTATCAACATCGGGATTTTTATTTTTCACCATTTTAAAAATTGAATGACTTTACATGTTGTTTGTTGATACTTTCATAAAACTTGTGAAATGCGTTTAAAGTACATCAGACTGTAAACTCCATAAATGTTTGCCCCACCTCGGGGATGAAACAGAACTGCAGTCAGACCTTGCGTATATCAGTTTAGCTGATTGTCTAATCGTTGTAATTGGATTAAACCAAAGCCCCAGCCACAGCTGTCGCTGGAGCAAAATGTGTTGGTAGCTAAGTTCGTCAGCAACGCTCTCAGATGAAGGTTCTGTTAGGAACACATGTTGTGAGCATTTATAATAGTGATTTGATAAATTATGCTGTAAATTTAGAGATTTTCATCTTTTTCTCTGTTTTGATACTTTTTTTTAATTTATTTTTTTTGCATTGCAACAGGGGTTTCAGGAATTCTGTTGTTCTAGTCAAGCCCTCTAGATAGCCACAGCTTAAATGTAATGCATACCTCTTTCTTTCAGGGCAGGCTGCTGTCCTTTGGGATGGATGACGCCCAAGAGCCGGACCAATATGAGGAGCGTCTAAAAGAAGTTTTTAACAGTTTCGATGCCAGGGGCTGCGGCTCTCTGTGCCCAGAGGAGCTCATGGACCTCTGCCAGTCCTTGCACCTGGATGATGCCACACCAGCCCTCCTCCATGCACTGCTGAAGAACCAGGACCACCTCACTGCCAGGGTGAGTTTTCACCTTGTCTGTTGCTGTAATACACTTTGAAACTGTGGTAAAAGTGGTCACTGCATATCTTTGTGTTTCTGGTGTGCAACGTTTTGAGTATTTGCTCACAACAAGTGTGTTGGAAAGATGACTGTTGTTCCTTCTGTGATGTACATGCGCGCTGTGGCCCTTTGGCTTTCTTGCACGTAGGGTCCTCGGCTTCCTTTGAATTCAGCACACAGCTGTGTTGAGCCACTCCAGCTTTCAGGTCTTTGTGTCTCTGAGCTTTCTGGTGCTTTGTTAGTCGTCTTGTTGAGGAGAAAATATGCCCGGATCAGCCCTCATCCCAAGTGTCTGTTGTCAGGACAACGAAAGCAAATCACCATTCACAGATGCATTCGTCTAAAGGTGCTTCACATGGAAATGTATAAAAAATTCACTTTAGACTCTGTAAAATATGTCATACACTCAGTTGCTCACCAGTGTTTATTCTTTGCTTTATGAGCCTCAAGAGTTAAGTTCCAAACTGTCCACCTCCCCAGTTTTGCATGAAGTTTTGTTCACCAATACGCGTGTGGACAGACGGATGGCTATTGTCTTGCATGTGTGGGTGGGGTAAGTGTTAGCAGAGGGGCCAGTGGACTGATTGCCTACCCAGGGTGTCCAACAATAAAGTCAAAGAACCCACACACACACACATGCATCTAAAGTCGGCAGCCGCCAGTCTCCGAAGCACAAAGAAAATCCCCATATTAAGGGTTAGCAGCTGTTGGTCATTGAAGTGTGACCTCCCTACTCTAGCTCAGCAAACCCTCCTCCACCCAGACACCCAGGGCACCCAGGCTCCACCTGAAACACGGGGAGTTACATTCAGTCTAAGGAATTTCATGAACTTTTGCTTTTTTATTATTTTCACATACTGAGCATGGCTTGCATTGCTTATAATAAATCCTAAAATTTCTGTCAGATTGTAAATAAATGTAAAATGTCTTTTTAAATTCTTGTTTCAGGTTGACTTTGACCAGTTCAAAAATGCACTGATTTTGGTTTTGTCATCAAGCATTGAGCCTCTGCAGGCAGAACAGGAGCCCTTGCAAAAACCAGGTAAAATCAAAACTGTGGTGTTGTATGTTTTGAAGAAATGTCATCCAGACAAACATCTTTAAAATAAATCGGCTTGAAACAATGCACAGTGCATCTGTGTGCTTTGTGTCGCTATCAGTTTAATATTTAATTTTAAGGATACGTGCTCTATTCGCCAAGTCCCAGTGCTGATTCAGCTGTTTATCTACATATAGAGGCACAGAGCCAAACTGTTAGGTACAACTGACTGTGCTTTTTCTTAGGGAAAATATATTTATGCTCCCAACTTGTTAGATAGCACAGTGCATTTGAATATATACATGAAAGGGTTACAGGCTGAGAGGGTTTATAGCGAATAAGTATATTAACAGCCCGATCATTACTGTCATGTGAGATCCTTGTGTTACAAGATAACATGAAATCTGATTGCTGGGTTTCTTTGACATTTGGTTCTGAAACATTGTTGACTTGTAGTTTGTCATATTGTCCCTAGTGGCGTTTCATCATATGTTCATGTTTTGGCTAGAATGGCAGTGAAATGTGTATTTGGTAATAAAATGGTCTTAAACAGTTAATTAACTCGGCAAAAACCCTGTCTAGTCATCTTGTCAGTCATCTCGATATTATGACAATATTATTATTTTTTTTATTGTAAATGCTTTGCAGTCATTGGATTTAATGCACCACCTGTATTGCTATTAGTGGTGTGGTTTTTAAATTTCATGAGAATAGATGATTTTTTTGATTTTTTTGTCATTGTTATCTCCTCAGAGTCTCCTGAGATCCAACCAAAGCTCGTTAAGGGCAGTAAACGCTATGGCCGCCGCTCCACGCCAGAGTTCATTGAGCCTATTTCAGACTTGTCTGAAGTTGCCAAGTCACACGTGGTGGATGAGAAAGATCTGGAAGACAATTATGACTCAGCTGTTCCCAGAAAGCGTGAGGTAAAAGGCTAAGACTGATGTCCTCTGAGTTATCCAGCCCTGTTCTGAACCTCCAGACATTCAGATGCCGTCCTTATCGCCACCTGTCCTTGCATGTACTGTGTTTCTCGGCAGCCACACACCAGTGGAGAGGCGTTATTCTTAGCTAATCAGCTTAGCAGCATGCAGGGCAGATCCTGGTATGTGATATAGAGAGTCAGCCTAGGATTCATAAGGTCCTGTTCTTTCCATAACAATGCAGCACTGTTTGTGAATAACGCCGAGCACATTGTAATTACTGCCATGGATAATGAAGATATAACCACAGTGCTGTGAACTGATCGGTGCTCAGTGGCGAGTTGAACTTTGTCCTGACTCTGTTTGCTTCCTGTCATGTGGTGGTCAAGGCAACAGCACAGCGCTTAAGGAATTGACATCATGTCAAAACAGATTGGTTGATCTTGAGATCCTTCTTTGGGATAATCTTGCTCTCATTGCCGACATAGTTGTTTGGCATATATGAAGTTCACAATGTGTCTAAGTATCTCTGGCCTGCAACAGGAATCAGGGTAAGACCAGTAAGTGGTATCATTTTGTCCTGAAAATTGAATTGATTGCAAGTAGTGGGGCTGTACTGTCAGTTAATGGATTATATTTTATATTGTTTTGGGCTTTTGATAGCACAAAACAAGCCATTTGAAGGTATCATATTGGGCTCTAAGAAACTGATCACTATTGTCTGACATTTTATAGATTAAGCAGTTAATTGATTTCAGAAAATCATGAAAAGGACAGATAGTGGAAGTGATAATTAGATGCAACCTTACATACTGTATGTTGAAGTGTGTGCTATCATATTTACTGACTGCTCTGGCTTTCAAACAATAGGTATATTTTATATACTGACTCTAGGTGGCATGTGCAAGCATGGTTGCTGCGGCAGAATACGTCACGACAAAGAAAAGTCCCCAACTGGTCACCAAAATGGCTAGTTTAGCTTGTGTGTGTGGATGCATGTGTTAATATTCTGTTGTCTGTAATTCCTCCCTAGATGCCTGCCAGCACAAAGACAAATGCTATTTGTAGCGTTGAATTGAAGTGTGTCTTGCTATTGACTAATAGCTAATAGCAACAATGCTACAGTGTCCAACCCTGGGACCAGCAGATGGGTCTGGGTCACAGCGCTCTGCCTCAGAGACTCCAGGCCGGGTGTCTCGGGATGTGGAGGGAGTTTGGTTGTGTCAGAGGAACAAAGAGCACTGCCACCCCCTTCCTTCTGGGTGCCTTTACATCATGCATCAAAATGCCACTTGCTGAATCCCATCTGTTCTTCATTCCCTCACGTTTTGCTTCACAAACAATAGATGAGCATGCAGGGATTGGGTTGGACAACAGTGGCTCACACTCAACAAGACTCCTCCCACTTTATTATTACCTCTGCTCAGCTGAGTGTCTGTTTTTTTTTTTTTTTTTTTGGTCTTTGAGAGTTTGTGCAAAGACTTTTCAGGTGTTGATTTTTATTTACTTCAGAAATCATCCAATAAATACACAATTTGGTTTTTAAATTATTTTGATTGTTTAAAAGTGATACCCAAGGAAAGCCAGATTGATTAATAGTTAAACTGTTGAAATGATTATCAGCTCTTTGTGATGATAATTTTCTTTTTCTCTAACAGCGCTGGAATGCTCATGAAGCCAGCACAGAGGAGTATGAGGCAGAAGGTACATCAGACTGGCAGTATTTTCAGAAAATTCACATCACACTGTAAATGTTTGTGACAAAATGTCCGATTTCTGCCTTTGTACATAGGTCAGATGAATCTCTGGAACCCCGACGAGCCGAGCACACCTCGGAAATCTGTTGTTCCTCTGTCAACCCGTTTAGAGGAGAGACTGCGTGAAGCCTGTGAGGATCTGGCGATAGAATGGGATGGATGTGCTGGTCACACTGAACTCCTCGCTCTCTGTGAACACCTGTGCCTGGAGGTGGGTTGAGGATTGAACGGTGGAGCCTTTTTTTTTTTCTTTTTTTTTTTTAAATCATATGATTACTTGAGATAAAAGATATTGAAATCACTTGTAACATTTTCACAGCAATAAATTTGTCTCTAAATTAATGTGGGAATAGTTTATTAATCTAAAACAGCCCTCCACTTTCTGCATTTACTTTTTTCTTTTCATGTTATTACATGTCTTGTTTATGAAAGCTCAGAACAATTTAACTGTTGTTTGCCTCCTAAGGATTCTGTAATGTTGTTACCTACTCCCTTTGAAATTTAGCTTTATTGCATTATACACAAACTGTTTTGGTTTGCATGCCTTGGTCCATGTAAAGTTCTGTATGAGTTTTAGGCCTGACAACCTTCAGATCATCATGCTGTCTTCGTAAAATCATCCTAAAACATACTTTTTATTTTTCAGGCAAATGGGGATGTGCTCCTGAGTCTAAATGGCGATGGAGTAATGAATGTTCAGGAGTTTGTTTCCAAGGTTGCAAACCACAACAACCCCCCCACACCATCTGCCTCTACACCCTACAGACAGCTTAAACGACATCACTCCACTCAGGTGCGCCATATACTTGCTAAGCTCTGCCAGGTTACAAAGGGGTTGATTAGTTGAATATTTTATATTTGAAAGATGTGCTCCAAACAAATATTCTCCTGTCGATCATTTGATCTTCAAAAATGCATTTTCATTGGAAATTAATCTTGTATATTTTTTATAACTGCAGTTATACTTGTATTTCTTTATCTTGCTACACATTTGCGGTATTCAAACACTAATTCTTCCCCCTGCAGCCTTTTGATGAGGAAGGCCGTAGGATAGCCGCCCCCTCTGCTTTGACCAGCACCATTGGCATGTGTCTCTTCTCCACCCTTGATGACGGTACCGGTTACACTCCAGTCGAATACATTCTGGATGCCTGGATGGAAGAGGGAATAGAAAACAGCACCGAGATCCTACAGGTACACCAATATACTTATTCTGCTTCTTATAATTGAGACCATTGGTCTTAATTATTGTCTGCAATGTCAATGTGTGAACTTAATTAATTTTAGCGTTTTTCAACTTGCAGATTTACAAAGCCTACAGACAGTGTTCCATGTACTTTACCCTGCAATGCACATAGTAAAGAATTCAGCAAGATATTCTTATTGATTGTGTTTGCAGGCTTTGAATTTCAGCCTTGATGGCAAGCTCAGTCTTAGTGATCTCACCATGGCACTTGAAAATGAGCTGCTCGTTACTAAGAATGGGATTCACCAAGCAGCATTGGCGAGCTTCAAAGCTGAGATCAGATCTCTCCTGTGAGTTTGGGTTATCATTATAACACAGCTTATTCAGCTCTCAGTACATTGTAGATTTATATTCGATAACATGTGTTTGCACTCATTGTAGATCTGTTCATTAGTCTGAAATAAATGTCCAGGATGTTTTGTTTGTTTGCATTTGTCAGGACATTTAGCTCTTTGTAAAATTCTGTGTCTGTGTTGTTTTTCTCTGGTCAGAGAGCGTGTAGACAGAGAAGGCAGGGAGAAGGAGAAAATACGATCTGACCTGGAAAAAGCGGAGAAACTGAAAACTCAGCTCGCCACTGACGTGGATGAGCATCACGCTGCGATTGAGCACATGAATAACCTCACCCTCAGGTGACTCTCAGATTATATTGTTGCGACAAGAGTCCACAGTGCACTGAATATACAGAATGTTTGAATTTACTTTGCACACCTGATTTTTTCATGCACAGTGCACTGAATATACAGAATGTTTGGATTTACTTTGCACGCATGTGATTTTTCATGTCTCCTCACCTACGTCTTAGTCTCATTACTCAGTTGGATTTCAAGGAATAAAAACTAAGGGACTCGGGTTTTCAGTCTTATCCATGAAGACCATTTATAGAAACTACAGATTCCATTTAGTTTGTTACATTTAGAGATATAGATGTTGATTACAGCAACCTCCCTCACAAAGCAAATCATTTATAACTCTGTGGAGATGTGGTTCTGACTCAATTCTGCCAAAAATAAAACAAAAATATTTGTATCTGTACTTTGTATACTGTATTATAGCATTCTTTCACATGAACATTGTATTTTTCAGCATTTAACCAATAAAATTCTGTATCCTCTGTGGATGAATGTCTATAGGAAACTTGAGCAGGACCACAAAGAGAAATTAGCAGCAGTACGATCAGAGATGATGAGAGAGATGGACCGGATCCAGCACCAGGCGGGCCTGCAGCGTGAGGAACTGGAGGCAGAGATGGAGAAGATCAGGGAGGATGAATCTTTTCTCAGAGACCGCCTCTCAGTGTCTGTGAAGGTACCAGCAGCATTTCTGGAAATATCATTAATGTGATGTATGTCTATATGCTTTATTTTATATGTATTCACAATATTATGTTTTGTTTATCACATCAAAAAATTGCTAATAATTGTAAACATTTGTTATCTGTATCTTCCAGGAAAATAGACGTCTTGAAATGGAGCTGCTGGACAGCACAGAAAAACTAGTGGAGGCACAAAGCCACATTACAAAACTCCAGACAAGTTTGAATAGCATTATGAAAGAGAAGGTACCGAGACATTTTGTGTCTATTCATAAGGTGGTTGTGGACATCATTACCCTTAAAGTTGACCAGGGTTTCTGTCATCTCCTGCACAGCTGATTTGTGTGTAGCTTTGATTTTAATCCTTGATATCTGAGCAAATAAACTAAACGTGTGTGTGTGTGTGTGTGTGTGTGTGTGTGTGTGTGTGTGTGTAATCTTCTTTTCAAGTTTGGAGACTTGGACCCTGGTAGTGCAGACTTCTTCCTCCAAGAGGAGCGTATTAAACAGCTACGTGACGGCTATGAAGCTCAGTGCAGGGTAATTGCAACTAAATTAAAAAAGTCACCAGCTTTTCTGGAATATTATGTTTGTCTGTGCAGCAGGAGCACATGAGATGTGGTGATGGTGACATTGGCTTTACAAAGTGGATTTTAGATACACTGGGGAAAAATAGAGTTGAATAAAAAGATACAGTCCTGTACTAAGATAATTGTTATTTCTTAAACACATCTTTCAAACATAGTATTCTTATTTGGTAGGAGCTACAGGATCGTATTGATGAGCTGCAGTCAGAGCTGCAGGAGTTCCACAGTCTTGGTCGAGTTCATCAGCCCTGCCACAAACCTCTGTCTGAAGAGCTGGAGAGTAAAAGCCCTGGCATGGATTCTGATCCAGGTAGGCCTCATGAACGCCTGCACCAAACACAAACGGAACAGTCCCTTGAGATCTCATTACAGAGTGCTAACTACAACTGTTAATGACAACATAAGGAACCCCTGTGTCAAATGTTAGCAGCCGCCAATTTCTACTTTAAATTGCAGGCATCGGTTCAGAGGAGGTTCAACTGTTCGGCTTGAACCTGGAGGCCGAGATGATGCTGGAGCAGCTGAAGGAGCAGCACCTTCAGGAACGGGAGGATTTGCGAAACCAGTTGGAGAGCAAGGTTAATGTAGTAGATGCCTCATTTCATGTGTGTGTGACATTTGTTTTTAAAAGCAAGGGCATGTATCGATATATCAGTACTGTGAACTAGGGCTGTACCCAACCGAGGATTTTGTCAGCCGGCTCTTCAATGAAACTCTTTTAATCTTTACTTTTTATTACTTATATGCTGTGTATAGAATAGAGTCAGTCAGGAAATGAACTGACATGAATTTCACTGATTCCAATCACATTAAGATCGGTATTTAAATGAAAAACAGTGACAAGAACATTTCTGAGCATTTAAAAATCATATGATACAACATTTGAATTGCAGCCTATTTAAATTAACGATGTATGATGTTGGGCTGCCATATGGACTTGTCGGAATAAGGAGACAAGCAGCACACTCGTGTTTCTGTTGAATCAGTGCTCCTATAGGCAGTTTATTTCCTCTGAGACATGTTTATAGCCTAGTTTACAAGCAAGTTTAACCTTCTCTCATCAGTTAACCCAGTGGTTCTCAAACATTTTCTGTCATTCCCCACTTAAGAGGGTGGGCAAATTTTCAAGCCCCATTTGTCAACAAAATGATAAAGAAATCGGCCAATTTTAAAATTTCAAATTTATTGAAATATCAAATAACACTATGTTCAAAACAGATAAAATATAAGTTCAATTGTGTTATAACTTAGCCTTGTCTTGCAACTGTATCGTTTGACAGGGGGATAGTTTTCAATTTTGCAGCACTTGTCTCATCCAGCATAATCGACACCATGTCTACAGCAGCAGGGAGAAT